ATACAAAATCACCGATGCTCAATTTACCCCTACTTGATTCAACGAGTAAAATAAAAACTGCAGAACCAGTACACCTGGAAGACGTCGATCTTACAGACTTGAAGATCCTCTCATTCGCCCTGAAGAAAAGTGTTAGTGGTTGTGAAAACAGTGAAAAGGCAATTATCCATGTGAAAAGTGTTAGCGTTTGGACTCTTTGCATTTATGTAATTTTAATAACTTTCATATTATGTGCCTTAGTATATAAGTACCGTATGAAATTTTGTAAGATTTCAGTACGTAGTTCTCCTGAAACAGAGAACTCCGTTCTTAAGGAGGGAGGAGTTACGTCGGGCACCTCTGCTGACGCATGTCTGCAAAGGCAGATCTTCGGCGAACTCAACTGCTGAATTGTGGAATTCGCAGACGACGGCATCCGCTGGACCGGTGGTCCGATGCCCTTCCCGTTAGATTAAGATTAGTAATAAGTTAGTCTTAAGTCAGATTTGGTACGGAATAAACGTTCATAAAATATAATTTCTATTTTTTAAAACGTACTCCGCGTGGCCCGCAACTTGACTACTTACAATTTACGTAAACAAATAATAAATGTAAATTTTTTGCGGCGCGGCGGTTAGAAAACATTTTTGTTTTATCCCAGAACCACGTGGTCAAGCCGATCTGTTTTATTTGTTTTTCTGCATTAAGAATAGACCCGATAATAAGGCTTTCGGTGCTGTCAGTCTTAATATGGTCTTAACGTCCCATAGGTTCACAAGAGATCTGTGGCGGCAGCTAGCTCAATCTTCAATAACACAATTTAATAATCTGTTTTTGGAGTTTACTCCTTTAGAATCGATTTACATATATAGGCCCGGGGTATGAAAATTATGGGGACCAAAATCGTACTAGCATGTCACACGAAATGCGTTATGCGCCTGATTGGCTCCTGATTGCGTGATGCGTGCGCGCGCCAATCAGGAGCCAACGCGCGGCCGCGTTATCGCAGGTGACGCCGGGCTGCTGCGCCGGCAGTCCGCCACAAAGCCTCGTACTGATCGCGCGTTTCTCTCATTATTGTATTTTCATATATTTGTTAGTCGTTTGTTTTGTGTCTCGTTAATTTGTTAATAATCTGTAGTGTATCGTGTTGTCGTAATATAGAACTATTTCTCGTATTGTTTCGTTTAATTTTTTATATCCAGTAAACTCCAGTCGTGCGTCGGAGCGGACACACACACTTTTTTTTTTTATTGCCCTTGTACGCAGACGAGCACACGGCCCACCTGATGGTGAGTGGCTATTTCCCCCTGTGTTATAATCACCGTAAATATATACGAGACGATAACTTTCAAAACCCGTATAATAAATAGTAAGTACCTAGTATCTTTAACAAAAATAATGACTTCAATCGAGTATTTCGCACACGATTAATAAACGATTTTTTAATTTTTTAATTTAATGAAGATGTTGATGTAGTACATTATTATAATTCTTATATTATAATACTGTGTACGTAATAAAACATTGGTTTTGCAATACGCCTTGCAAATGTATTGCCGACGCCGCCACGACAACACACCGTTGCAAGGCTTCTATAAATAGGGCTGTCAACGTGATAAATAAATACACAGACTAAGGGTTTTTTATTACATCTTACTGGTGATAGGCCGTATAGTAAATCTGCACGTGTAGGTACCACCATCCTGCCTATTACTAGCATGCAACACTCAAGCGCTCCAGTTTGAAGAGTGGGGTAACCATTATACAATGTAATTGAGACTTTAACCTCATGTTTCAATGGCTGCATTCACGTTGTCATTTATATATGCTCCAGTATTTTCTAAAAACCAGGTGAGTCGTGATCTTCTTTACTCATCTTCGCCAAATAAAAAATAAAATAAAATAAATCAGATGGTTTGCATTTATGTTTTTTAAATATTCATGGTAGGTAAAAGAGCATTCCTACTACGGACTCATGAAGGGATGTGATCTTTAATTAGTAGCAGAGATCGAAGATCGGTACTTCCTTTGATCAAATCATTGTGGCTGCGAATCTCAAGTTAGTGGTTTGATCTAAGCAACAATTGCCTGTTCAGTCGGAGCCGATGCGTGTAATTACGTTCTACTATTTACTGGGTTGTTACTTACGTTACGACGTCATACAATTCACAGTGACATCACACCAAATATATCACAAAAAATCAAAAACATAACCTTAAATACGAACGTGACGAAGGTGCTGCTGTATAGTTTTATATAGATGCATACTTTCTACTCGTATCTACTTTGTTTCTTAAATAAAAACGAATTTAGAAGAAAAACTATTATATTATTAGGAAATAAGTGAGACCTAATTTATTGCATATTCTCGACGTTTTGCTGATAAAATTGCCTCGAATATAAATTATAATTTATAACCTACTTGAATTAAAAAAAAAATCAAGAAAAAATAGAATCATTTTTTATTTAAAATTTAACAACCCTATAAATTTAAAACCAGACTGTCGGATTAACACGAATTATAGTGTTTTACTAAGTTGTTTACATGTAAAAAGGATGAGACAGAATATACCCTTGCCTAAACTCTTCAAAGTTAAACTTCACTGGCGATATTGGCCGACGTTGGGCAAACGTGACGGATACGCTTTAAGGTGCCCGAAATAGTTGTATAGATATAAATTTAGCCCACATATACGTCTTAAGTAATGATAGATGGAGAGTGTTTTGCAAAGTATATCACTGGGAGATAAGGTCACGATTCATGCCGCCCACCTTGAGACGTGAGGTCGCAAGCTGCGTTGTAGCGTAATTGGTTCGTAGCCTGTGCGGATCCATAATGCCCTATTACCAGAGATTAAACAAATTTATAAATTTTGCATAGTTCGTTTCGTAGAGACACTGAATTTTTTTTAATAGCCCTTGTAACCAGACGACCTGATGGTGAGTGGTTATTGACGCTCATGGACGTCAGCAATCCCAGAAGTTGAGCCAAGCCGCTGCCTACCACAAAGTATTTATTTAAAGGACAGTTCACGTAAGGATATTCCTTGCTACGTACAAAAATGTTTGCTTTAAATATTAAAATTAAACATACAGATATTATTAAGATATCTCTTTCAACTGGTGGTAGGAATTGTGAGTCCGCACGGGTAGGTACCACCACCCCGCCTATTTCTGCCGTGAAGCAGTAATGCGTTTCGGCTTGAAGGATGGGGCAACCGTTGTAACTATACTGAGACCTTAGAACTTATATCTCAAGGTGGGTGGCGCATTTATGTTCTAGATGTCTATGCGCTTCAGTAACCACTTAACATCAGGTGGGCTGTTAGCTCGTCCATCCATCTAAGCGATAAAAAAAAACTAACAGCGAAAGAGATTTTGAAGGAAAGACCCGAACGGTCTATTAATGTTTTTATTATAAATCCATTTGTATGGGGCATTGGGCGGCCTATACCACCATCGTATAAAAATGTAATTACAAAAGGGAAGTCCTCGGTCTCTTAAATATAGATTTACCCTTTGAAGAGCCATTTTGTCGCGAAAGTCTTAGTCGAAATTATGTTGGATTATCGCAATTACTGGAATTGAATTATTAGAATGTACAAGGGATGTTATACATTTATTATTTTATCAAAACCTATTTCTTTTCCAGCCTATGATTTTTTTTTAAATATAAATTGCTTTGAAATAATATAATGCATATTGCCGCTTATGACGACGCTAGTTAAAATTTCAACGTATTAAAAAGATATTGAGATGTTCTTGCTACCTATATTTTGATAGCGTCTTTAACATAATACTCGTAATTCATTTTAAATCCGTTCTACTTTTATAATATTCTTAATCCTATTAACAATAGTTGTGTTCAATTAATGTTAAATTAACAATAGTTAAATTAATTAATTTTATACTACAGAATATTACAGAATTACAAAATAAGTTAATTAAATACTCAGAATTACAAAATAAGACCTTATCAATAATAAAAGATGCTTTCGCTTGAATAAAATTTAATGATAAATGTGCAAAATTTAGATACATCGTTTTCCAAACAATTTTACTAAATTGAATGGATCCAGGGTATGAAAGATGAAACTCTAGAAAAACCAGAAGGTAAACCATTACTGCATCCTGACGTTGCGAAGAAAGAACTTACGCCGATCTGGAAAAAAAGATTGGACGCTTAAGTTAAAATTACCCGGAGATAAAATGCCCCACGTATTAAATCATTAGATACAATAATTTGAAACGTCTTTTAGTTAAAGTTTTTGGGGGTTATATAGATTTTTTTGTCAGAATTGCTGTTTTGCTATCTGCTTAATTAACTTATTCTCCTGACACAGTTCCGTCGATGACCGGGTACTCTACTCTCAGGTTGCAATAGCTTAAAAATTCTAACAAGAACCTAGAAGAAGAAACTGAAAAACATATGCCATAGTTGGTCCTTCCAAATCATCCAATCTGCAACTACCGTGATGAGGTGGATCAAGCTCTTGTACATATACTGTGTGAAAACTGCGCCTTATGCAATAAAATATAGTAACTTAAATAAAATATAGTAATATTCTTGGACATGCTATGGTCTGAAACGGTGAAGAATATTATTGGACAGGGATCGGTGTTTTATGGGAGTTGACGCTGGATTTGGCCTTGAATAAAGATATATAAGCTTTGGTGTGGCCGTAAAAGATCCAAGTGGATCGCGGCAACTGATGTCCTTATGATAGTCCAATCACCATTGGATTCGTGCTAATATTTTAAATGTGAAAATTGTATATTTGGAGCAGTGATACAAGCAACCCTTTTTTATGCAGTTTTTTATTCTTTTGACAGTACCAATTAAAAGCGTGTGAAGCCGCGCATGCGTATGGTATCAATAATAAATACTATTATGACAGTGTTGTGTATTCTGGCAGTCTTGTAGTGTAGAAATTTTCACTTGAGATACACATTACATTTAGTTAAAGTGAATATTGACAAAATAATTAAGTCATTTCAATCAAATCAAGTTTGAATTGATCGCTATGGATGAATAAATACTAAATGAACAGTGAACAATGTGGTACTTGACAATGTTTAGCGGGTCACAAATATTTCTCACCAAAACTCGTCTAGTGTTGATATTCACGACTAGAGGTCCACCGGTGTCGCCTGGACAGGCGCCCCTGTTATTAGCGCCACTGGTACAGAGGTGATGGGCTTGAATAACATTTCCGTAAGATCTGATGCATTCTGCGTTGTTGATTACAGGCAGGTTGACCGAACTTATTGCTTGAAGAAGGCCTACAGAAGCTCCTAGAATCAGACACCAGAAAATTTGTCATCTGTATTGATCAAAATATGAAATTTTTATCTCATAGCTTAGTATATGAGTTGCATTATTGTTTAGTTTTTATTTTATTATTAGTATTTTATGGTTATTCAGGTTCGCATTACAGCATGAATGCCGCATCAGGGCAAATTCTCATTAAAATTGAAATAAAGGTTATCCTACATTTCAAATCACGGTAGATGTCTGCTTCGCGGCAGAAATTAGATATTACTATGAAATCGACTCGTGAGTGTTTGAACAGCCGCGAGAAAAAAAAAACGAGTTTTAAATATTTTTACTTAAACGTACTAAAACTTATATTTTTAATTTTTATTTAAACGTCTAGCGGAAGAGGAATTTTAAGGTTGATTAACCATTAACCTAATTAAATCCGTTTTAGAAGAATTTTATGAATAATTTGTTTTAATAGCTGACCCAAAATAAAGTAATATTGAGAGCGATTTATTTGAAACACGAACATTGTGCATATTCATGAGATCATGTTAAAAATACACGATCTTATCGGCCGTTCAAAATCGTGTTTTGATGTAGTTCAGAAAATCAACAAGTAAAATTCGTGTGAATTTAACGAAGTGCGAATTTAATATCTGTAAGCCCGTAGAGAATATACACGGATATGTATTTCCCTTTGTTTTATGCACTCAATTATCGTTTATCTATAGAAAAACTGAATAACGAGCCAAAAATCATTAATTAATTTGTGAATTTATTGATCCAATATATATAAAATACATTTTACTTTGCGATCTGTTTTTATATGTTATACATATTTTCTTCGGTTACCGCGTGTCGTAAATATAAAAACTATTAAAATTGCCAAAAAGAAAATAGCTAAAAAAATACCCTTTGTATAATCTATTTTCACGGCCTAATCATGTGTTGGACACGCTCAACTAATGTATTTATTACCCATTGTTATTCAAATATTGCGTTTTTGCATACAGAAATAACAAACCGCATATGAAACCTGATTGTCTATTTGATTTGGATATAATTTTGTATGGTCAAATTGTAAAATATGTATTCGAAATAGAGGATATTTTAAAATGGAAATAGTTGAATCCTGTGAAAGCATTTTGGATTGCCTCATACCTTGACTGACTCATTTTCGTAAGTGATTTTATGAGATAGATACGAGCTAATGTGATCATAGTTTTCAGTATAAACGTAAGATTGAGAACTAAACGCAAATATAAGTACATGTTTTGTCTAAAAACAAACCGATTCTTCCTTGCTATGCTATTACCGAAATGCTTCTGAAATTTCATTCAAAAGCTAGTTTTAAATACAAACCATTACTCGTGACTCCAAACCCAGAAAGAACCGCTGTGCGTCCCTCAAAACTTTCATTAATTTCACTACCTGAAGGTAAATTGACGGCTTGAATCATTGCTGGAAAATAAGCAAAACATCCTAATGTTATTTTATTCATATTATTGAACTAGCGTGGACGGCCAAATGAGCTATTAGTCACATTTGTAGGTACTGGGTCTATTGAAACTACAACATTGTATGGCCAATCCCCGCGGAGGTTGCAAACCCGTATTCAAAAATATTTATGTATCTGTTTTCTTGCTAATATGCCAGCAATATGGTATTCTTTTTGCTACGTGTTCCACGCGAAGGTGATAAATTTTATTTTAGCGATATATCGATATACCATACAATGCAAACCTATTTAATAGTTACATTTAAGACAACAAATCCTTCTTTGGTAAGTGACGTCTCTAGATACTCAACGCGACTCTAAAATAAAAATAGCATAGGTGTACTTACTTGAAAAAGAAATTCTTGGTACAAGTATGATAGCGATATCATTTGCTACAATCCACGGGTTGTATCCTGGGTGTAGAACAACTCCAGTTGCGGTGAGTCTAGTGCCGCCAGTGAATAGCATATTGGAGCCAAGAACTGCGGTGATGGAAGCCACAATGTTGTTGCCATCGTTTTGGCAATGGGCAGCTGTCAAGATTCGCGTATCCGAAATGACGGTACCACCACATACCGAGTTGCGAATGGCACTTATAGTAAGAATTAATCCTGCCTAAGATATTTAAAGTTTCAAGTTAAAATATTCGATATTCTGAGAAATTTTGAGGCTTAGAATGACACTTACTTGGTAGGGTACTGAGAAGATAGTGGTAGTCGAACCTCCTGCAATGCGTTGTCCGGAACGAATTAATTCTCTTTCAACATACCAAATCTTTTTAGCCTCCGGGATTCCTATTCGGTCATGATAGTTATAAATACCAAGTTCTGAGAGTGCCGGTCTTTCTGAGGCTTTTGTTAAAGTCAGCGCTACAAAGAAAAAACCTAACCCTTTCAACATAAACATCATGACTTCTCAAATAAAATGTTGGCCATTGGCAACAGCTTTTAAATAAGGTTAATAAAGTAATTAATGAAACTGATAAGCGTATCTATAAGATTAACAATCCTGTTATCGCTAAGCTCTAAATAATCCTGAATCGAAGGCACGTGTCCAATGCATGACTTATCAAAATCTTCAATTAATTGTAACTAACGTTATTAAAATTGAGAACATAGAACTATATGTTCCAAACAAAAAAATTATAGATCAAGTAAATACATTAAGTACCTATCGTAAAACTACATTTTTTCTAACAATATACAGGGTGTCCCAGAAAGAATGGATAATCCTGAAACACCTCATAGTAGAGCTATTGGGGACACAAAATAAAAAAAAAACACAGGTAGTACCAAATTACGTATTTAATAAAAAAAATAATGATATTTTCAAAACTGCTGTGCGTTTCTGGAATATAAAACAGCTACAAATAAATGAAATCCATATGTTTTTTGGTGTTACAATATTCTACATGGACTATACTAAGGAATATGCAGGAAATCATATGAGTAGCTAGTGTAATTTTTTATAAAAGTTAATCTGAACTTAAATTTTAATCATGAAATTTGGTATTTTTTTGTTTTTAATTTGGGTACAACCTTTGAAAAATTTTTTTTTTTTTTTTTTTTTGAGTCCTGAATAGCTCTACTATGAGGTGTTTCAGGATTATCCATTCTTTCTGGGACACCCTGTATATCACTATACTTTTGCGAATCTAATTATGTAAGTATATTGGTATATACGTGATATAATGATATATTTATGTGATGTATAATATATTGTGTCAATTATTTTTTCACAATTACTCTTTTTCCGATTTTTTTCTAAAAATCCGGTTGTTTGGAAGAGATCGTTATTAGCGATATGTCAGCCTATTGTACAATTATTACTGTGGTGTAAGTGTCGGAAGTATACGAGACTAGAACAATCTCACCTATACTCCGAATATCAAATATCTTTATCAAAGATATCGACTACAGCCGAGTACCGAGCCCGGATACCAAATATTACAGTAGACACGTGTTTAAATTATTTAGATTTGACCAAATAGATAGAAATTGACGTTTATGTAAGAACGGCGTATCTAGGAAACGTCAAATTTCATTGCCAACGTTATCGAATATTTGTGCAAACCCGGATATATTTTTATAGTTATGCTAGATATATTTTTTATTGTCATCAGTAGAGAAATTTCTCAAGAGAAAAAAATTTCATACTTTTATAAATGTTACTGTATCAATATACATACATAATACGTATAAGTACAAAATGTATAGGATGTCGAAATAACGTATCTAAAGTTGACACGAGACTTCTAAACTAGCCAAACGATAATTGAAAACAAAACATATTTACTAAGCTAATATACCTAATAAATATGATGATGTTTTCGTTAGTTAATATTTCGTTACGCATCAATATAATCTGAAGGCATCCACTCGTCGTGCCTCTAGATTCCATGTTGTCATGGTCTAAAAAATAAGACGCCTGGTACATTCTTATTTAATTATGTACGGTGTTCAAATAACGCCTTTTTTGCAGGCAGTGGGCCAATCTTCGTACGAGGTGTCGAGGTGCAGGGGGCGCGTGCGCTTTTTGAGACTGGATGATCTGCAGATGTTGGGGGCAGACCGCTTACCCAAGGCGTTTTTAGGGTCCTTCTTACCAAGCGATTCCCATTGTATTCTCTCACATGACGTGCGATCTCCGTCTGAGGTCAGAATCCGTGCAGAGTACGGTGATTCCCTCGGTTAACCTAATCCCATCCTTAGGACGCTCAATCAAGGCTTCGTCAACGACCAACGACACCAGCATCAATGGTACGGTAGCCCGTCAGGCCGTCTGGGCTTTGCGCTGATGTTTCGGGATATCCCGCTGGGTTAGAACCTGCCTGACAGGTCGGAACGTGGCACTCCAACGACTGGGGTGCATTTCCACAGTACATGCGGTGACGCGAATCCCACTCGCCGCCGAAGCGTAACTCCGATCTCCTCAAGTCGCCTCGTGATCATCACCGGGTGGATCCTGCTCCCTAACTGGGACCGAAGCTGGACGAAGGCCTTCTTTTCGGCACCTGGCTCGGCGGCGATAGCATGACACCTAGAGGGAACAAGAGCTCTACGTTTGCCATTCTGCCGCCTCCTTCTGTCAGTTGGTGGACTCGCAAAAGTCAAGCATCGCCAGTCAGGAATTCGAATCACGCATGTGTCGACATTTTTGACAAATAAGATACATAGCACATGTTCAAAGCACTTCCACTATAAATTTCGTGTAATAATAATATATTAGTATAATAGGAATATAACTATCAAAAGTGTTACAATGGGCAGTTTTACTTGTTTAGTGATCTATTCAAAGTAATCTTGTACGGAGAATAACTAAAACTCACAAAGTTAATGAGCAAGTTTTCACAGTTTTAATAGTAAAAGAACAATGGTATAACGTAGTATCGTTTGACTAATGTCATAATCATATTACTAGTTTAATGATTATAGTGTATAAGTAATATGCGTACTGACTTGAGTGTGTTATGAAGCATCTCGGTCACTAAGTGCAGATGCTTTTAGTGCCATATATGGTATAGTGTATGGTAAATAGTGTTGTTGCCGGAAATGTTCCTCGGGGATATTGCTTTCGTGATGTATTCTAATTACAGTTCAGAATCGTTTTTTTCATCTTAAATCGTCAGAGATTCCCCTTTTTTTGTAAATGTGTTTTTTTTTTCATGGCATTTAAAACACCGTAAGTTTATGTTCAATTAATTTGATTGATTATCGTTTAGTTACAGATGCAAAATTATTTTACAAGTAATTGTTATAAATAAATAATAGTTTAAAAAACTAACAAAATACGCTTTTATAGAAAATATAAATAAAAATCTCTATATATAAAAATGAATTGCTGTTCGTTAGTCTCGCTAAAACTCGAGAACGGCTGGACCGATTTGGCTAATTTTGGTCTTGAATTATTCGTGGAAGTCCAGAGAAGGTTTAAAAGGTCGATAAATATGAAAATGCTCGGAATTAAATAAAAATAACCAGTTTGTTTTTTCTTTGACGTGTCCCCCGTCGGACGGATTCCTTTTGTTTGTTTTAAGTTTATTTTATACAAAAGTTTAGGTCTTTTATTTATCGATTGAGGCACTACGAAGTCTGCCGGGTCAGCCAGTAGGAAATAAATTTTAATAAATTTGAATTAAATATAGTGTAAGAAAAAATTATTTTATTGTAAAAATGCGTGGTCATCGGTCCTTAATAAGTATACCAAATTTCGAGTTAATCCGACGTTTTGAAGGGGGTCAAAATCATGTTCAAAGATTCCGTTACATAAATACGTCTGAAGCTAATAAACGCGTATTAAAATCGCATGAAATAGGCATCCAATGTATTTTGAAATGGCTCATTTTAGTACCGACCTACAAAAAGCAAGGTTTACAAGCTCGCACATTTCTCAGTTCTCAAGTCAGCGGCGGAACCCTCCCCTTCAAAAAGCACACTGACGCCTTCGTGACCCACTTCTAAGTTCATACTTCATACTTCCCATTCCTATTCACGTGCTCACAGAACAATTATGACAATGATTTCCTATGCATTGTAACTAAGATTGTGTTTATGTTGTGTGTTTGATGATAAAGAGAATTGTATATTTCTCGGCTGGGTCTTAGTGAAAAAAAGGAGTAAACTCTTTTCATCAAACTCAAAAATGTAAATAGGCTATTTAATATTTTGTAAACTCTCTAATCTCTTGTCCGTCCTCATTTTCATGTAGTAAACATATTATCAATATTCTTCCACAAAAAAAAAATACTCCTATCAAAAGGTGTTGGCAAATATTCAATCTGGGGATACTCCTTATTTATACTTTTATTGAGATTTTATTGTGTGTGCTAATAATAATAAGAAACCACAACAACAACAATAAGAATCAGTAAGAAGAACTGCTTCTTGTAGAATTCTTTTGTAAGAAGAATTTCTTTGAGATAGTGTGAATGTATTTTAAATGAGATGTAGATATGGAATATTCTAAAAGTGGTTAAACATTAATAAAAGACTTAATTGCGTTTTCTGTACAATATTAACATTTAAAGCCTTTATAATTATTTTATTACACAGTATTCTTGAATTGAATAAAACTGAAGTCGTATTTTTTCACAATGACGAAGAGTTCAGTCCATCTCTAGAAGAAAAAAATCCTTTTTTTTAAACAAAAAAAGTTTTTTATAAAAATTACAAAAAAAAAGTTTTTCTTTACAAATATATAACAGAAGATAAGATGCGAAGTCTAAAGTAGTTGAGAGTAAATTCTTTTAAACATATTGCGCCTTGCGCCATAGATTTGAATATTTTTATTTCGAATTTTAAACGAATATCCCACAAATATTATAGAAGCAGAACTACATTCTAGTCGAACCTGAGCAATCAAAACAAAATTCGTTATTGGTTTGAATATGGCGGAGAATGAAAAAGACAATTATAAAAGTTATTTTGAAGTGAGAATTTCTTTATTATTTGAAGTTTGTTAAAAAAAGATCAACTAATACATTGATAGAAGTTAAGTCTGCGAGATAATTAGTAATTTTGAAGTATTCCTTTCTACCGTGTGTCACACGGTAGAAAGGCACACAAATGCACACATGGCTTTTTTGGATATTACTTTTTTCGCTCATAATTTATATCCTTATCTTAAATGTGACAAAAGCTATCATTAGCTACGTACAGTTAGTACTTTAGTACCACTGCTGCAACGTGGTGTTAATTTCCTCTAAATAACCCATGACTTCCAATTTAAAGGGAAGGGCAACCATCTATCTAATATAATTGCGAATTTGACCTTTCGTACACAGAAAGGCTCTGTAATCCGGAAAAAAACTATAGCCTTTTAAACATAAATTTTGGTAAAATGAATTCTTAGAGCATGACGAGATCAGATTAATCCGTTAAAGAATCTTTAATTACATTTTCTCTTTCATT